GCATAGATATTAACAAAAACAACAAAATGACCATTAATTTCAACTCTAGCTGCCAATAACCGTCCGGGTTCAATATCTTTTTTTGACATGATTTTAACTTTGGTAGTTGGAGAGAAAATAATTGCAACTCCTGCACTCAAGTTTGTCCCATGAGAAAGAATACACTCATCACCATACCACATTCGCCAGTCAATCTCATTATTCACATCACTAGTCTCTTGCAAGAAAGTCACATTTAAATTTTTCAACCTAATAAATTCGACAATAGTTTCTGCCTTCCTGCTATCCCTCATCCCATTAACATTCAGGGATCCCACCCGTAACCTCTCCATAAGAAAAAGAGAGATAGAAAAGAAAACAGACAAGAAACAAAGCATTTTAACCATAGTGACTAGTTTTCCCCCCCTCTTTGGCCTAGTTTTTCCAGTTATACTTTGTCTGATTGCAGTAATGTGTTTCTTTAGTCTAAAGCGTTTCTGCTGTGATAACTCTTCATGACTACTATGCCTCCTTGCCCACATGACAGATACTATAAACTTGTCCAAATCTGGAAAAACATCACTCACTTCAACTTTTTTTCCCTTTGTTTCATCAAGAAATTCATTGATTTGGGCTACAGTATACAAGTCTTCTTTCATCACCTTTGAAATCTCTGCTCCTTCAGACCATTGTTCATCATCTTTCATACTATCATCAGTATACTGAGACATTCCATCCAACTCATCTACTGAGCCTTCCTCTAATGCTTGTGCATCTGTCTGAGTCACATTCTCACTATTAACTACATCTTCAACTTCATCACTTGAATGTCCAATAACAGCAGAACTACATCCATCCGTATGCTCAGTGACTCCCTCAGAAGGCCTTCGCTTCTCTGTTACTTTTTGTCGTGTCTGTTACCACGGTGTCAGTATTGTCGTTGTCTTTAATCGATCCATTCTCCGTTGACTCTACAGTCAATCGCTGTTCATTATCCACATTTTTATGTGGGCAAGAGAAGCGTTTGTGGCCCAAATTTCCACATTCAAAGCACTTGAGGTTATCGGTACTTGCATACAGCATATAAGAATTTTCTCCATGACTCACGCGGAACGAGATCTCTAACGTACGCTCAGGTGAAGTAAGAAACATCAAAACTTGCCGTCTGAAAGAAAGCACGTGTTTCAACGCTGCGTTTTTACATCCTAATGGGATCATTCTTACTGGACTTGCAATTTTTCCAAATCGTGTCAACTCTTTAGTAATGGCGTCATTTGATATGAAAGGTGGCACATTGGATATTGTTACTTTAGTAGCTGGGGCCGCTAAAGGAGTCACCGGCACAAACATTTCTTTAATCCAAATTCCGCTCTCCGTCAACTGATTCACTAACTGTTCTGTTTTCAAAAACACTACAATAGCCTTATTCATTCATGATGCTGAGAGAATGTTCTCAAAACGAACCAATTCTCCCACCACCACAAGTACCTCCTCCACGCTAACGCCGGTGTTTTTGGTTTCCGAGATTTTCTGTGGAACCAAGTGGAACTGAGAATTTAAGTTCACGTTCCTTGTATCTCGGCAGGTTTAATGGAATATTTAAAAAAAGGTAAATATATTTCCA